CTATTATTTGACATTGATTTTAAGCTGTATATAAAACTCTCATTGTTTTATTATTAGGTATGTATTACTTTGAATAAAAAAACTAGTAATTGTTAAATTATATTTGGTGAAAGATACAGAATGTTGAAGTTTAGTTCTAAAGATAAAATTGTGACAAAATTACAGAAATTTAGATACAATAAAATTTTAATTGATTTAATTTAAATAGGTCTTATTGTTCAGTAGCTGATAAATTACCTTGGTACATTTTTTGTTCAGTAAGGAAACATTGCTGAATTAATGATTATAAGTAAAAAAAATTATATTATGTACAGGAGTTCTCATGGTATGCAGTAGTTGTTATTCTCGTATTACATTGTCGTTTTATTTTATTAAAATAAAAAAGTATTCGTAACTTTTTAAAGGTGGATAATAAGTAACGGTAATTTTATTGCATAAAGCACTTATGATTTTAAAATTATAACTGTGATTTTTTGTAAAAGAGCTTTTTATTACTTTAAATTTATAAAAAAGAACCTTTAATACTTTTATTATTTGAACGGGTGTTTAAACAGCGTAGCTGGCATTAACTTTTTTAAACATAAACGTAGAAAACTGAGTTACTTTAAATCAAGTTTTTATATTTTTTTAATTATTCTAGCTAAACCTTTGGGAGTAAATATTACTTGGTGTAGAATATGAGATTAAGTTACAGAAATAAGGGATCTGGGTTTCTGCCTTTCTGCCGTTGAACGATTAATTCATCGGATTAATAAATCCCCGTGTAGGAGATAGATTTCTCTACAATTGCAATTCCGTTGAGGAAAAAAATGCAATTTAGAAGACATGCACCCCGAACGTGTCTCAAGCAATTTAGGAAAAAGAATAATGGGCTATCGTTGTCAGAGTGATAAATGCGGAAGGTGTACGAAATTACCGGATTAAGTCTCAGCATGGCCCTGGCTTAAGAGGCTCTTATTAAATGAATTGGGGATTTAATATAATTTTAATGGAAATACATAGACCTAGAACTTGTAAATAAGTAATAGTGCGTGTGAGCCGCGGAGATTATATCCATATGCTATTTAGGAAACGAATCTAAATTTTGTACATTCACTGGGATCTTGTTGGCCCTAGCCTATGAATAATTTTTGCTTGGTATGGACACGATGTAAAATCAATAAATCCCATCCCCATGGCTGTGATAAATAGTGACGGTAATACCGGAAGAGATGTGGGAGAGCCCCATATTTAAAATTTTTCATTTCTTATCTGGTAACGGTCGGCTTTCCCATACAAACACTTCATAGGAGTGCAAACGCGCCTACGACAACCATTCTAATATTTTACTATTTTAAGACCGTATTTTTTGTCAGGTCTTTGGTCGACGCGGATTTCTTTGAAAGATAGAAGAGGACAGCTAATCTTCAAAAACAAAGTTTTGCATAAATAAATAATAACTTTTCGTAGGGTTAGTCAAAATATTATTCTTTTACTTTATTCAAATAAACACAAAATTGAAATGTTGTTTTTGAAATAAGTTTAATTACGACCGAGGCGTTTCTGGATGGGTCAATTTACAATTAATCTTACCGGGAGTAATGAAGGAAGTGTAGTGTGACCTGAGATAAAGTGGGCGAATGTTTCTTCTCGTTTTTCTATCGGGCTTTTTATGGCGAATGGTGGCACAGCTCATTTCATTCCTCTTGCCAATAAAAAGAACGTTATCGTTATCACAACATTGTAAGAAAGAACGTTTAAAATTATTTCCACCAAATACACATTTTGGTAGAAGAGTTTTCATTCTCAAACTTTTAATGGCATGACAAATTTGAAACTCATTCAGACGTAACTGGCACAAGAACTAATTGAATTATTAAAAATATTAAAAGATAATTATTGAAAGTAATTCATTATTTGCGTCAGAAGCTATGTGTAGGATTTCAATCATGTTGGTTTACTTTGGTTTGAACAAATACTCATGTGATTATTTTTCCACTTCATTAATTTAATTATTGGTTATCGTCGTAAAACATAAAATTTAATTGCATTTTTGGCTTAGGTTGAGTTTAAAGGCGGATTATCTCATTCTGGTGATTGTCAATAAAAGAGTAAAGCAAACGGAAAATTAAATTATTTGTTTTGTCCGAGCATTATTTTATGCTTTTCGCTATTAATCGTTGCATCAGTGTTCGGTCTGGTTGATGCATTTTATCGATTGTGTCAGAATTTGTAATTTTACGTTTGATGAAATTAAGTCGCTATACAGTTGTGGCAAATTTATTTTTCTATTTAATTGTTGGGGGTTTTTTATGTTTTTGCAGGGTTTTCTAGGATAAAACGTTTGTAAATATTTAAGCAATTTAAAGCCTCTCGGTCTGAGTCCATTTAAAATATTCATTGTATGGACTTTGGTGTTTTTTAGCGTCTTGCTGTGTTCCAGTTTGATTAATACAAGGAAAAAAATCAGTGAACTTCCTGTACAAATTTGGTATTTAAATGAAAACAGCAATGAGCTTTCAATCCCCATTAAATGTAAAGCTGATAATCCTCTCTACGAGGCTCTATAAACTTCGGACAATTGTAAGTAGCTTTGAGCTTTTTACTATTTTAAAGCTCGACGAGGCTAGTCCACAACTAACTCCTTAACTGGCGATTTAATTAATAGCAAAAAATCATTGAACTGATGTAGGTTTTCTCGAATTTCTCCAATAGCCGCACAAAGGAGGGACTTCGAATCGATTCCGGTCGGGGGGAGAAAACTCGTGCACGTTTCCAAGTGTCAAGAGTCTTAATTAGTTCTATGTTCTCCGCCGCTACATATCAAGTCACGTTTCAAAATAGACTGCTGCGGTGTCGAGAGACACCGTCGCTGCACTTATTCTATTCACCTTCTTCACTCTAATTGTGTTACTTCGATTTGGCGTTAATGCCATGTCGAATTTTCTAATTAGAAAAGACGACCCGAAACCAACTGAGACCACTGTCGCTCAAAACTACGATTTTAAACCCTGCTAATTTTAATTTTGGCCCAATTTCTTTAAGACTTCATTTGGTAAGTTTATATATAACCCTTTAGAGAAATTAAATCCATTAAGGATAACGATTCTATCCATAATGGAGAGTCTGAATCGGTTTTACATTTTTACCAGTGCTGACTTCCGTTTAAGCAACGATGAGGATGCTCGAAATTACATCGGAGTGATGAATAAAAAGAAATGAGATTAATTGTTTTAAATTATTAACCCGTTTGATCTTTTGATAGGATAATAAATATTCAAGTTTATCTTGAAATTGTAAGACCTGTTTTATTAAATGTTATTCTAAAATTATCTTACCTACCTAATTTTTTATTTAAATAAATCGATTAGACATGAATAACGGAAATGGAAAAGCTTGTTATATCTGATGCATTATTAATGCTTTTAATGTTTAAAAAAATGTTATGAATTACAAAAGTTTTGAGTTTCAGAATTAATTAAATCACGTTCATCTTGATTTAGTTTAAGAAATTTTGATTTACTACATGATTGTAGTTAATTATTTAGTAGGACACACCAAATATCTTTATTGCTTCGCCAAAGTACGCTGTACGCTAAAATGTTACTAAATGTCAAAAAAAAACAAAGTGTATATTTTTGGTTTTCCAGGAAAGAATTTTGCTAAAAATATTTCTTATTACATCTCATATAGTATATCTATCTCTAATAAAACATCCCATTTTGCAAATTTTTAGCTTTCTAGGCTTAGCTATTTTCAAGGAGTGAGTGGTTTTTAGCTCTTATAGTCGGGGATCAAAGTTCCTTCTTCATTTACAGACTGAGTCACATAGGTAATAAAAACCCTGACCGATTTTCAGACGCAACTCAAAATACATTTTCAGATGCCACTATGCGTTACTTGATGTACTGTTTGTTTTAAACATAGATATCTGCGATAGCTTAGGCAGTTTTTATAACTTTGCGTCCTACGCTGTATATCTTTGACGGTACAGATTTAGCCACAGCATTTTAGTGGCTAGTGGCTCCACATATCAAGTTTATGGTAGTTTTTTTGTTGTTTGAGTACATTTCGCATTCAAGAGAAAAAAAGGGAAATTCATGATATTGTCATATTTAATGCACGACATATCAATAATCACTTTGATTTAAAATTAATCATTTAAATTTGGCAAACGGTACAAAAGCCAAGTTATCTGTGAGAACGTATTTTGGGTTGCGTCTCAAAATTGGTTAGGTTCTTTATTATACAGGATTAGTCTCAGGAGAGTTACTTTGAAAATTAATTAGTTTGCAACCAAAAATACTTTTAGCGTATAAGGTAAGAACCTTATATGGCATTTTTCTCCTGGGGCGTGAGTTCTGCACCTGTAGATATCGCAGCTTTAAAGTACAAAAAAACGTAAATGTGTTCGAGTATTGCGCCCATTGGACCAAAAATGACTTTGAAACATTTTTGGAGGATAGTAAAGTGCGCGCGTTTTGAATTTATTTCATTATACGAGTTTTTGTAATATTTTTTTGTACTAAAATTAAGATTAAAAAAACACCCGAAAACATGGGTTAATTATTTTTTAATAAATATTCAGAATATGCAATAAAAAATATGTGCAACGACCCAATTGTATTACATCTAACTATTGTAAGTTAAAGGTTGTTACATTCTTACTCATACGTCTGCTATAAAATTACAACTTATAACGAAATTCTGTACACCAAACATGTGACGACCCAATTGTACTACATCTAACTAAATGTAAGGTAAAGGTTGTTAGACTCTTACTCATACGTCTGTTATAAAATTACAACTTATAACGAAATTCTGTACACCAAACATTGATTAAAACTAAAATTTTGCGTAGGTGCGTTCTTTTTCTTCAAACTAAAGTGAAGATATTAAACTCAGTGTAGGTAGATGGTGGGCGCATATTTTTGTTTTTGATGGATGCTCTAAGTAAGTATTTTTCGATAAATAAAAAAGTGGGTATAAATTTATTAAATACTCAATTAGAAGTTAAATACACTGAAAATACATTACCATTTTTAAATCTTGCTATTATAAAAAATACAATGACTTTTATCTGAGTTTCAAACCTTCTCTTTCTCTAATTCTGTAAACACGATTTGGCAGCGCTAGAGGACGCACACGTCGGAAAAATCGACGCATATGGCGGCCCGTGCTTTGGCGATGTCAGACTGAATAGTTTTTTTCTAATTTTGTAGAGGTTTCCTCGGTTTTTATTTACTAGTTGGTTATATGTTCGTTATATGTGTGTTTTCCCTAGGAACTAGTGTGCGGGCAAGGGAAAATATCCCTTTTCTCAGAGAAAAACCGTAAGTTAACCATGTTTTGTTGGTTATGTATTTTTATTTGTTGTTGTCGAGGACATGTGAATTGTTTATAACCTATATCCTTTTGTTTGTTATTTGTGTAGGTGGTTGAACTCCTTTTAATAAAATCTGCACATGAAAAAATCTCTCAGTTTAATTATTGTGGGTGTTGCATTTCTTCTACGTTGCTAATGGACGCACCAACACTTTTTATGTTGTTGAGCAATAACTAGGAATTTCTTGCGTTGGTGGAGAAACTGAACTATTTATGCCATTTGTAATAAATCAATAAACGAATCTTCCAAATTGTAATTGATTTTTTTTCGAATTCTTATTGCGATAAAAAATCTGCGGATTGAATAGATTATTTTAATGAAAACTAATCACAATGGTTTGTGATAATATCAACCAGTGTCCACTAAACAATTGAACTATATCACTTTCAGCTAGCTAGACGTGTCATAAAATTTGTAATTTTGTAATCTGCGTTATAATACACAATAATGATACTATTCCAAATTTAATAAGGTTATACTTATTACACCAGTAAAATATTAAAAAAAAATAATACCCACATATAAGTAATAAATCGTTCCCAAATACATACAGTTAAGGAATTAAAATTTCGGCAGTATTTTTGTGTCACTTCAAAAAGTTCACTGTAAACTACCTTTTACTGTCATCATGACTGACATTTGACAATTAAACTTTTCTGTAGGTGACGCTATTTTTAAAAGTAAATAGGTAAGTCAAAATGACATAAACATAACAAGAGTAAAAAATGAAGTTATTAATGTAAAGGTTGTTTTTATTTTAATTAATTTTAATTTCGCAACTGTACGTATAGTGGTATAGTGAGCGTTTGCAGTTACAGTTGTTGAAATTTTCTCCACTGTTGTTTATTTACTACAGATGCAGTATTATCTGGACGTTATCGGTAGTAGATTGAATATTTTTATCAGAAATAAGCGTATCTGCAATTCGTCGGAAATGAGGCATGCATAATGCATTACATGCGCTTGAAAATGGTTCAAACTATATGTTGCAACTCATGTGGATTGCTGAAAAAAAATTTGTTATTTTAAAGGTATTCAATCTTTTGAAAAACTGCCAGGGTTTTGTCAACTTAGTGGACATCATCGGTTACTATTGAGTGACTGAAAAAGTCTTAGCTAATACACGTTTAGCGTTATACAGGGTGCGCCAGAACTCACGCCCCAGAGAAAAATTTCAAGTAAAATGTTTAAAAAATTCTCTGTCAAAAGAATTTTGACATTTATTTTTTGACATTTGACATTTTTTTATGTCTATTTAATGATACCTAATACTGATAATCTTGTATAAGTTTTTTTTTACAATTATTTAGGAAAGGTACAAAAATTTTGCCAGTAAAAGCCACAAATAACATTGAACAGAGTTACAATTTGCTTGTTTCCTCTTCAAATAGCCTGTAGCAATAACATTTGGAAAATTATTTTTCCAACAGAAATAAATAGAGCCAAAGTGCAAAATTTAAACTATCATAACTTCGAAATTTTTATGGATACAATTTTTTAAACATTTTTTCCATGCTACCTGATATCTTACCTTATATGGCATTTTTCTCTGGGGCGCAAGTTCTGGCGCACCTGTATAGGAGTCATTCTACAGAAAAATAAATATTGTAGTAAATGTAACTTGCAATTAAAATATTTAAAATTTATATGTATATGATCGTAATAGTTCACGATAGCATTGTCCTTGATCCCATGCAACAACTGATGAGTAGTGAAAATAATCAACCTTTTTACGATTTGTGAACTCTTTAACTATGTATGTTAATTAATTGAGTGTGTGTCGTGGGGAAATGATGGATGCTAAAAATATCTATACTTTCCTATTTATAGACGTTTTTTATTAAATTTTATCTTTTCCGACTACCAAATGTTTAAAGTCTGATATTAATGGATATTGATTATCGAAAAGTCGTACAATATGAAAATTTCTCTGTGCCGCTCTATTCTTTTTGATTCAAATAGATGCTGATTCTATTCAGGTTAATTGGATTCACAAATTTTTAACGCAGCATTTTTTTAATTGTACATAGAAATTCCATAGAGGACTAGTTGAAAATCATTTTGAAACATGTTGTATTATTCAAAGAGTCTGTATTTGTTGTCATGGTTTACTGCGTTGTATTTTTGATGAGATAATATGTGTAGTTGTGATAAGAGCAAAAAACAATAAATATGCCCTCTTTTGAAGATGAGAACAATGAATTTAAAATAATTTTGAGCTGAGACTAAGTTTTAACTCGGCCAACCATTTACTATCTGCCAGTTTTCAAATGAAGCCGTGTGCTTAATTTGGTTAGTTAAATTGAACAATTAAATATAGAGCGTGGCAGCTTTAAACAGCTACAATCTGTTTTGATTCAGCTAAACCTCTAATTTGGTTTAGAAAAAACTGTCAAACTTGTTTTACAAATACGTAGCATTCTATGGGGCGCCATTAAACAACTTCATAATACCAAATTAACTGACAATGTTTCATCATAATTGCTGTCCTAGCCTCGCCTACGCGTCGGGACATTTCGTGAGTAAAAAGCACCCTTTGTTCATGTCGGTTTTGCATTTAATTGGGGTTGGTCCGGTGGAAGCAGTGATTTGTCCGCACGTCAAACTGTCACTGTTATCGAAAATTTTCGTTTCGATTCGAGTCGTCGTCAATTAAGAGGGAGAACAATGACGATGAATTTTTAGGTCGGATAAATGTTGTGGAAGTGCTCCGAGTTATTAGATTTCGCAACGTGTTTCGTGTTTCGAATCTTTTATGTGAATTTAATGACGTTAGAGGGAATGATCTCGATGTGGGCGCCCATCAATCCTATTCATTAATTTTTAAACGAGACGTGGAAAAAAATAAGACAAGGAGGATCTCTCGGTTGTAATTATCTTCTGTGACAGGATAATTTTAAATCCTCTTGACATTAAAGCGATGTTTAAGTTCAATAATTATATTCTATTTGGTGGATGGTGAAATTAAACCTGGCTGTCTACACTGCTATATCCCTTATGTGTGTGACGTTCCGTTAACTATTAATTGGGTGCTTGCTCTAATGAGATGTGTCTGCTTCTGAGCAACAACAGACTAAATTTAATCAGACCCTATTAGAATCGTGGGATGTTTACGGTTTTGTAAATATTCAATCAATTCGATTGTGTTCTGAATTAGTGCGACTGTGTTGTGTTGACCGACACGTATGCATATTTGTTTGTTATCCGAAATTCAGCAAATTTAATCGATAGCTTGTGTGCATGAAATTATTTTGTGGCTTGTTGGCAAAATTAAAACAAATTTAGTTTTTTGCCATAATTGATTGGAAGTTGAACATTTTTACCAGTACACATATTCAAAAGTCTGATTATTTTTCCAACCAATATCATAGTGTTGGCCATAGATGAATAATTTATATAGGGTATATAGATGGCGTACTCATGTACAACCTTTTGAACTCGTATTCAGCAGCGCCTCTGTAGTTTGGACGCTGAACTATAGAGCAAAATGTGCCTTTTTTTAAATGGTAACAATAATGTTAATTGAGTATTTAGTAGAGGGAAATAAGTGCTACTGGCATCTTATTAGAGATTAAACAAAGAAAATAAAAGATTTTTTTAAAGTAATTTATTGAAGATATTGAATCAAATTAGTTAACAAGGTGGTTTCATACTTATAGGGATTATATTAGAACAATTATGTTCAAAGAGGAAGCATAAACAGTCTGGGTTGTCGAGTTCTTGTCACAAGGGTGCCGGCCGAAACAAATCTTCACATTTTTTCCATCAATGTCCACATTTTCATCACCAAAATTCACAAATTGTTAGTAAAACTTCCTTTACTTGTACACACAGCCCACAATAACTGAATAAAAATCTAAAAATCACAACTACACGTAAGCACTTTGAATTTCTATGAATGATGTCACCGTCAAAATTTAATTTTTTTCTATCAGAAGTGTCACAGCCAACCGCTAAAATTTTAAAATTTTGATACGAGCGCCTCTGGTGTTTGGACGCTAAATTAAATAGATAGACTGAATTCACCAATCTAAGAAACCATAGCATGGTGTTGGCAAATAAAATCTGTGTCATTATTTTTTTCACAAGCGTTTTGATAAGTGGGGTTTTGGAATATTGCTAATATTTTAACGCCTCTACATACATTGATGTGATACAGTTTTCAACAGTGATACCCATCCTGTAGATTTATACCATATTTTACTGCGGTTGATTGCTAGCAAATGTAAACATTTCGAAAGCAATCAATTTCTGCGTTGTGAGTACAGCGGCCCCTTATTGCATTTCAAAATTGATAAGTCGGAGTCGAATATCTGCTATAGAATATTTTTGAATCAAGTTTAATAAAACTTCACCAAAGTGTTATGAGCGTTTTGCTTTAAAATTTTTTAATAATAAATAAATATTAAAATTTTGGGTATTACTAAAAAATTTATATTTTGTTAAATAAAGATACTTATTACCCAATAGTTTCGAAACTATAAGAAGTACTTCTACGGGATAAAAAGTGTCGCTTTGTTCTGACCACACAGAAAGTCTAAAGCAAAAAGAGCAAATAGTAAGTTACAATAAACAACTTAAACGGACTAAATTTAGTTGTGTGAAGTGGCTTTCTGAAGCTTTCTGCAAATTTCAAAGCGTATTTATTATTTGCTAAAGCTATTATAATTTGAGAGAGTTTACTATTGCTATAGTGAATTCTGTTCAAAAGTTTGTGATCGTGCTATCGTGTTGAATTTTTAAAGCATGTTAAAGGAGAAAGAAATTCTTTTATTACTGGTAAAGGTACACTTTCCTATTATTTATCTAAGAATAGAATTTGCATTTGAGAATTTCTTACAAAAACATCTTAATAACATTTATAACAAGCAGGTTTGTCACTGAACACAACTAGGTCGTGATAGGCTTTTCTATTTTTCTTTGTCATAAAAATGACATTACGTGTTACGGATGATGACGAGTGATTAAGGGTTGTTATAGACCGACCATTTTGTGGTAGTATTGAGTTGTGATTATCTTCCGTTGTATTTTATTACCAGGATTATCATTATTGTTAATCATTTAACATCGTTTCAATATGTACTTTATTGCTATTGCTTTGATGTTTATCTTCTTGATTTGATTTATGCTACTATTTCTTTTATTTTTTTTTGTGTAGTTTTTTAAGGCTTATTTCAAAGACACGATCATTATCGACTGAATGAATTACGGCATCGCCTGCGAAATCTGGGACCTCCGCGTTGATCCTCCGTTGAAAGCTCGTTTCCGTCGTTTCGTGTCAAGCTCGTGCCATCGAATCGATACTTTTCCTTTAAATTACTCCAGATAGGAATTTTCAATATAAACACTGGATGTTGAAAATGTCGTGTTAGAGCGTTAGACTCGTCCGAACGAATTTAAATTTGCGGTCGGCATATTGAAAAGTTGATTTTATTAGAAAATCGAGAGAGTATAGTGACGAGATCGCTGACAATAATCAATATTGGGAGGAAGACTTTTGTGTTTCCGGATTAGTCGAGGCTCACCCGGATCTCGACAAGAGACCGCAATTGGGAGCATCCGAAGATGAAGTTTGTCTAATTTTGATGAATTTCCACCCTTCTTTCGTGCCGTTTCTCTGTAACATTTAATTAACTGAACAATGTGCCATGATGCGACTCGATTCCGACATGATTTTCCCGGATAAGGGCAATCTGTTCGATCGGACGGTCAGGGGCCGACAACACCCTCTTCCCGATAAAGTCGAGTCATCAAACGCATCGGTCGTGGCACAGGTGTGACCACTTCCAGCACACATAATACACAATACGACGTGGGCGTAAGAAAGGAAAGCGTAACAAGAGTTACATCTCTGAATCCTGTCAACATAAATAAAGCGTTTCTCTTATATGGACATGTACTTGGTAAGCGGGAAAAAACTTTTTTAGTATTTGCAAAATCTGGTTGTTTAAATGTCAGACATGTGTGACGAAGGCGAGGAAAACACGTGTTGCCAGATGATTTCAATTTTCGCTTAGAGAATATTTCAGTTAAATATCTTCATATTGAGAGGATCTGCGTGTAATCGGAGACTCTTCAAGGGTGAATAGGGAGTATATGGGGTATTATCGTGTTTATACACGTGCCTGGTTAAATCGAACGTTTAATATGAACCGGATCTGATCGAAATAATTAATTGGGATGGTTTTAACAAGATAGCTGTTCACATCTTAGATTAAAAATGCCACAGTTTATTTGTTTGCATGTCTTTTATTTCAATCTATTAGGTCGCATATAAATAAGCAGACTTCTCCTTAAGTTTGCTTAGCGATTCTATAAGTATACCTTATTGAGGAAGAAAAGAAAATATGTACGAAAAACACAAAAGCTAAATTAACCTGTTCAGAATAATATTTTTCATCGAGATATAGATCTAAATAATGAGGCTCTTTGACTTCGATGTTTTGAACGTGAGGACCGCGAGGACCTGTTTACGTTTCCAAATTTGGTATTTGCCTTAGCTTGACTAATGCCCAATCAATGCCAGCCTGATCTTGATTGAATATTGGCTGAAATGATTCTCGTATATTGCTGTGGATCAATGTCTTTGCAGCGAAAAGTAAAGCCCTTTAATCAACGCAAAACGAACTAGTTTTAGCATGTTGTCGAATAAGTCTCTGGAAATATATTTTACGATCTTGAAGGCAGTATATGCAGATATAACTGTGCGGAAAGTTGTAAAGTTTACGTTTGAGAGAAGTCGGAGTTTTCAACAAGTCTTAGTTGGTGTTCGTGAAATACGTGTAAATAGAGGAAGCTGAAGGAAAATTACGATGGAGAAACTTGAAAAAATTACCGAATTTGTTTCGGAGTAAATGAAATGAGAAAAGTAGCGAGAGACACACGTCGCGTGATCAAGTATATTGGATTATTTGGATTTCGAATAGGGAATATAATCGACATTTTCTGTTTTGTTGGAAAACTTGTAAGTTTTTATGAAATTACTTCGGATTTCAAGAAGTTTTTTACTCGTAAACAAAAATTAGTGTATGCGCAGTTGCACACACATACGTAGAATTCCGGTAAATCTTTTTATTTAAGAGGGGTTTTTCTGTCAAAAGATCACGTCTGTGTATTTGGCAAGGGTCTTTGAGACCAGATTGTGCAAGATTGGTGTTGTTTTTGGAAAAAACTTTCTATATAGTAAATATATTTTTGATATACCTACAGAAAGAAATTTATCAACAAACTAGTCCTGATTTTCAATGACATTGTCTTGTCGAGAAAATGATCTCGGAACAGTTTTTGTGATTGTCATGTTTGCAACCTATCTATTAAACTAATTGACACTATACGTATTTGGTTAAATTTTTGCAAAGCTATTATTTACTACGCCTGTATTTTTCTCCAATAACAACGTTTATCTGCAAATCTTACAAAAGTGACCCTTTTATGGCTAAATTACACAAGTAAAAATTTTATCTTTCAAGCATGGAGTAAAAACTATTTTTTCGTTTAAGCGTTTTTACTTTTATTATGATATTTGCCAATGTTGTTTCTTTTTTGTCTCTTTTGATGCTTCAGCAATTTCTGGAGAGGTACATTGTAGATTATCAGCATTTGACGTTTTGCACAATTAACTGCACTAGTCATCCACTAAATCACACTTTCGAAAATGTTAACACAAATTTCATTGCAAAGCGTCTTTATTATCTTGTTCCTTTACTTGCTAATTATAGTGTTGCATTTTATTCTCGATTTGCGGATAAAATAGTATATGTTAATTGAAGTAAAAGTGAGTTTATGTGGCTCAGCTGAATTATAAATAAAGGATCTGTTTCGCTATCACTTTTATTCCTAATAACATAATATACTATTTTTCGACTTCCGCTATCTAAAATCTTTATCTATTACACGCACAAGAGGGCAATATAAATGTGAGGTAAAGCTGTCACCACGCTGTGATTTGTGATATTTTTGGTGCTAAAATCTAATGTCTTAAAAATAATCTATATTTTATTACACATTTAAGAATAAAATTCTATTTGTTAAGAAATTGACCTAGTGGTGCTATTACAAGCTGAATACATATTTTATTTTTATTTATGATTATAAAGTTTATAAAAAAGTTTCATACTTCTAAAGATCTTAAATAAAGCGTTGAAACCCTTGAACCAATTTTATGTTTTACTGTTTTGCTTCGTTTATATGCTAGTGTTATATTAACTTTATTATTTGCGGTTCTGTAAACTTAGAGAAATTACCCACCGCGAAGTAAATTTCTTTTTCTTTTAGACCTAGCTTTATTGTCTTATAAACTTTTTATTTGTCACGGTTGCTGTGATTTATATTGTGGATAAAATTTCATAGCTTTATACAGGACCAATTGATTTATTTAAACTTTGATTAAAACAAAAGGCTAGTACACCTCTGAAGACGTTATTTCTGTCAACAATAAAACGTTTAGGGTTTACGTGTCAACGACGTGTTGTTGTTCTTTTCTCACAGTTATGCAAGCCATGCAATGTCCAGTGGGCTGGTCGGCCATAAAAGCAACAAATCTGTCACACCAGAGGCGCATTCACACTATCAGTTTAAAATTACGATCTCTGTGTGATTCTTTGAACCCTCGTTTGTGGAATTTTGTCAATAATAAAGGCGGAAGAGGCAAAAACGCATACAGTGAAAAATTTGCCTCAGATCGAGTGTAATTCCTCATCGGTGTAAATTCCATTCGACCGGCCTGTCATGTCCTATATCCTGGATGGCCTATAAAATTCACTGGTTCCTCGGGGCGTCAGCTGTGGGTTTCGCACGGCTCAGACCGCTTGTTCGGGTGGCTTACTCCGAATTGGATGCCGCGTCATGCCAACTTATAATGGGTTAACAGCAGACTCGGTACTTCGTAATTCTCCTGTCGTATGTAAAAAAATAAAAATTATACTTTGCAGACGCCACCGAAGCCTTAATTGCTACATTTACAACCTGCCACACACATTAAAAAAACTGCGTATTAAAGCGCTAAAACATACATCCCTGGTAATAAAAATTTATAATAAAGATAGGAATATTGTCGCGTTTTCGTGCTAATGGTCCAACTGGGAGAAGGGTTTTTGCTTTTATGATGTGTTTCCTCGAAATTGCAGGAGTGAAATTTTTTGAGCGGTTTTATTTTGCCACAGCCGTCAACTGTTATTATTGCATCCAATGTCCAGAGGATAATATGGGTGCTGAAGTGGTGCCCTGGGGGTTGAGACCACGGAATACGAGATTCAGTATTGATTGCTATAGACTGAGTAGATGCATAATTAGGGACTTTCACTAATTATGTATCTGGTATTTGAGGCAATATTGACGATGGTTCAGTTGGGGATCAGTGTTCAATTTTGAGCAGACACCGTGCGAAATTAGGCTGTCAGTTTATGTCGGTTTGCGTCGGCGGACCAGAACGACGCCGGCATTCTCATTAATGATTCATCGTGTTTGATTAGCCTCCACGGCATTTTTACGAGGTGCGAAAAGGTTCTTGCGAAAGGGCAAGTCGAGGCGGCCTCTCGGCCATCATGAATACTGTACATTCACCCCCTTTTCGTTGTATATTCATAAAGCTTGACGTTTGATTAATTGCAGGTGTCGCGGAGGCGTGTTCGAACGCGGCGTCCGCCACCACTGCTGCTGTCCCAACGGTGAGTACAACATACATTCAATTTGGTTCAGCGCATATCATGCACATACATTTCGGAACCGAATTGATCGCGTTTCGTACATTGACGGCTATGATTAACGTCGGCTTTTGACGTTTGAACCTTACGGAATTGATGCTCTTTAGAGACGAGGATTTGGAGTAAGCGAGCACTGAGACTGCAGGAGATTCGAGATTTGATACTTGCACTTTCATGACCCGACGTCTAGGATATTTTTTACATTGAAACTCATTTGTTATAAATTATTCGAATTAAACTTTACAAGTAGTTTAGTTTTGGCGAAAACGTTTTTTGGTGTGTGAAAACTTGAATTTAAATTTTTTGGTCGGATTTGTAGGTGGATTTGCTCAGATAAGTTTGTTTAAAGGATAGGATAATTAAGCTGTCAGGTTGCATGTGATGAAAGAATACAATGGTTCGCATTGTCGCGGGTGTCGAGAAAGTTTGGAACCAAGCAATTTTCTCACTAAAAGGTACATTTTTAGAAAAAGTGTATTCTTAGTAAGACTTACAATAGTAAGTTTTCACAATTTTGTATTGTTTTCTAGTTTGTTATTTTTTTTCTAATAACAAAGTTATTTTAATTTTAAATTTTAAAGAAAGTCTTTTGACAGTAAGGGTTGTGCTATTAGAACTCTTGTATCGATTTAAGAAGTCTTTGTTTTCTGCTTGCAGAGTAATTTTCAAATAATCAATTTCAATTTCAATAATAATTTCAAATTATCAAGTACAAAATTTAAAGACAAAAAAAAGATTTAGAAAAACGTACATATCAATCATCGTTTTGTAATAGCAACACAGTTTTTTTCTAGAAAGTTAAAATAATGTAAGTAGAAAATGCTTTGTTTTATACTTTTTCCGCACCTAGTTTGTTATTTACATAACACGACTAATTTATTTTGTCTTTCTTGAGAAAAGCAATAAATATACTGTGCATCTTTATTCATTAATGTGCTAAGCAAGCCAATAACGTAAGTGGAAATAATACGCCAGACGAAGTGATTCGATTCGTCATCAAATCGAACGATGGGAAATGGCCTTAATTATTTTCCATCTGGTACAGCCGTATCGGTTCATTAGCATTTCAATAGTATGCAATCAGCGTAGAGAAAACTCGTCTATTTTTTACTGACACACAATAAAAATCGATATTGGTCGAGTGTCTGTATTTGACATTACAGAGAAATTGATTTTGCTCGTTAAAAGCAGTCGTAAATAAAGTTCAAGACGTGTGTCGTTTTAGTTTGTTATGAAAATAGTATATCACTAAAAATTTGGGCAACAATTATCGAAAACAGGAAGCGTATTACAATTATGGAGCATTTAGGCGTTAAAGCGGTTTGAATTATTGAGCGCGGTAGTCTGTTTCAAAACAGCGCCATCTAGAGAATTTGTTTTAGTATAACGTTGAGCTGGATGGAGGCAAGTATATGAGTCTGTAGTATTGAGGTTGTGATCCCTGCTAAAAAGGATTCTGGTGGAATCAATGAGGAGAGTATTTTACCAGTCGTAGTAGATGGCACTGGAGAATATGTTAAAGGAAGTCTCTTCGTAGATGGCGCTGGACGTTTTTATTTTGTGTAGGGTTGGTAGATGGCGGATAATGCGATATTCTGGACATTTTTAGTTTAAGTGTAGGTAATCGATATTGCGGCGGTTGATTTGTGGTGTCTTTTTTTTATCGGACGACAAGCTTATGCATATGTTGATGAGGTTTTTTAGTGGTGGATATTATAATGGAAGACATTTTAATGATTGAAAGAGTATTAGATGTTAATGAGAAACGTTAATTTTTGTTATCGTTTTGTATAATGAAGTTTGCGACAGTTGGCTAATTTTTAATTAAATGTCAAATATAAGTTTTTGTGAGTCTTTAGGGGCGCCATATTGCGACATTCAATAACTGCTACAACGTTATGAAACAGTTGACAACTTCAGTATTTCTCTTTTGTTTTATGGTTCGTTGTAATTTATAAAGAAGTAAATTTTAGGTGTAGTGGGTGCGATATATTCTGTATTAATATTTTAAGATATCAAAACGTATTCACTGTAAAACTTTAGTCATATTTCTTTCCTTCGTTGTAGCAATAAACAAGAAACGAATTACCAGTTAGATTAAGAAAAATATACAAAACGAATTGGTTTTTAGCTAACTTACAAGGTGAATTTTGGAAAATAAACGAACTTTAAACAGAAATTATATAAGAAGGCGTCACACTTAATTGTCTTAAATTGAGATAGGTGTTCATAATCAGCAGGGGTAGGCGACAACCGACCTGCGATACACATCCGGCGCGCGACTGTGTTGAATTCGGTCCGCTCTTATGTAAAAACTCCATCATATTTCTTTTAAGCAAAGAAAGGGAGCAAAATTAAATCACTTATAATGGATGAAAACTTATGAACATCTACGACTAGCCGTTAGTTAATTTAATCTTTTGATAAAATCATAAATCAGGATCATTCCAAATAAAAGTTTATGTTTTCTGCATTTTGTCTACTATACCATAACAATAAATATGTTTATCTCAATATGTTGTTTTTATGTTCTGTTCCTATTGTAGCGTAAGATATTAAATATGTATTTTAATTTATTTTGGAACCATAATGTTTTTAAAGTTTTGTAAATGCGGGCATACAATGGCCTTTAAGGTCTAGACGTACGTAGAAGTTGTTTTTTTATTGACTTTTGAGAAAAAAGAAGCCTCTTTTTATTTATGTCTTTATTTATTTTTTGTTTAACAGTATAGTAATTCGTTTTGTGAGTTACTGCTAGACTTTCATGTTGTGTTGTCATTACTTAGTTTTTTGATTTTCAAATTTTTAAATGTTTTATTTTTGATAACTTAAGTTCATAAAAATACTAGTAAATAAAAATTAAGAAGTGTCAGCATGTACAACTTAACCAATTGTCATTATTTTTTTTACTCAGGAAATTTTATTCTATTGCTGGTAGACCATTGATCTGTGACTATTGGATTACTTGGTAGATACCCTAAAAAAGCGTAAATTTCGTAATTCTAAAAATTGTTGAAGAAGTTTTCTGACGAGAAGTTATAATGCGAGTTATAATTTTGTTGACTTTGTTAAAACACGATCTGTTTAGGGTAGCGAGGACATGTTTAATCAACAGAGTTTATTTTTTTTGGGCTAGGTGGAGAATATTTTTTCCATTAAATGTTTTGAATTGTTTATTGAGAGTTTACGTTTTTTAAAAGCTGTTTGTTGTATTTTTATTCAGTGGATTAATCATTCGATTTAGTCAACACAAAAAACTCTTTTATATGAGTAATCGGTTGTCTTTCTTTTTCCGGCTTGAAATTTTGTACAACCCTCTGGACATAATCCTGGCTTTTAGTCACTAATTAGTTAGTGCCGGTGGAAAAAGCTTTTAACCATCACATCACAGAGCATTCCCTCTGTGTGTTTATTATGTATAATTTGGTGGACGTTTTGTGACTTTCTAAATGATAATTTATTAATTAGCTATGGTGGGCGACAGTTTGGAAATGCGACTCTTTCGGTAATTATTTCTTTACCGATTCGTCGTTTAAACGTCTGATTAATTGCCCACCTAAAGGTTTGCGTCTTTCAATTTCATTAGCGACCGTTTTAAGTGAATCAATCCAATTAATTAATGCTCCTTGCTAGATTAGTTTAGTTAGTATTGTCTTCTCCGCTTTTCCTCTTTGTCACTGTCTTTCTCTCTCTCTCTCTCAATTTTGAACGTTTATGCTTTTTTATTTAATTAAGTAGAGTAGTTTAATGATGTTGTCGTTTTTCGATTTTAAGTGCTTCATAGTTTTGTCATTATCTTGTAGGAAATTGTCAAGAGATATAAGGGCACCTCCATCCTTTTCGGGATTATTATTGTGTTTGACGTCGCTTCTTTAGTGGATCCGTACAAAGCTCATTTCTGAAATCCTATTAGTGTTTTGTATTACATATACGTTTCAGAATTACAGTCTTGTTCAGCCTACATATTCTTGGATTGTTTTTCTATGTCGAAAATATTCCATTCCCAGGTTTTGCTTTGACGAGTTCGGATCGTTTTATGTGTGTGCACTTTATTTAAGAAGCTAAACGTACACTAATATGAATTTTTCATCAGGCGTTTTTTAGTTCTTTTGTCACACGAATTCATTACAAACGCTCAACTTAAACGTTTCGCGGTTTCACGTTAAATTGTGAAATAAATGACAACGTTCTAACTTGTGCTTCAAAAAAATCATTTTACTCAATGAAGTTTGAATAATTTAGTTTAAGTAACTCTCGATGAATGAAATGAAGTTATAAAGAATTGCTTTCTGTTTTTAGTATTCCTATTTTTATTTTATGGTTATTTTAATTATTTTAATGGAAATTCATTTGTTAAAATAACGTACATTTAACATTGTTGAAAACATTCGAAATTATTATCGCTTTGAGCGTATTTGGGGGCTATATTATGAAGTTGTATTTTGATGAAAATTTTTTGTTTTTGTATCATAATGGTTAATGATGAATTTATTTTTATCACTGGTGTTAGCATAATGACTTTGTATTTGAGAAACTTGTTTTTTTTTATTAATATGAAATCGATTTCTAATTTAATATAAATGGACTTTCTGTTGAGTAGACACTTCTACTCGCATGTGAGTTTAAAATGTTTTATACATGTTTATACTCGTGCAATTAAAAGGAGGGGGAAGTTATTTTTTTATGTAGGTATTATTTTGTTTATTGTTGTTTTTCACTTGACTTTTGTTGATGGACCAAGTTTTTCTGTACGAAATCATTTGAAGGAAAGTTTCGAAAGAAACAAATTCATTAGTATGTATACCAGCTTTTAAATTAATCTTCAAAGGTAAAAAGGGGAACAACTAAAAATTAAGGATGATTAAAGCTAAAGACGGTTGGTCGATTTCCAGTAAAAAAACGAGATATAAAGTTTTTAATATTATTTTGACTGATTACAGAACTAGATACGCGTTGACGGTATT